ATATATATATATATATCTTTGAATGAGAAGAGTTCTTCCTAAATCAGCTACCGTGTTTCCCCAAAAATAAGACCTACCCAAAAAATAAGCCCTAGCAGGATTTCTATGCATTTGTTAAATATAAGCCCTACCCCATAATAAGACCTAGTGATGCATTTTGGAGTGGAGCGGTGGGTGCACATGTGGCCGGCATCCTATTGAGCACCTGCGAACAGCTAGGGGAAAGGAGTTCACGCATCACTAGCGCCAGCCCCACCAACAAGGTTGGCTCCCCCTGTCAGGTTCCAGAAGAAGATGACTTAACTGTATTTGAATAAATGTAGATTGTTGTATTATACTTAATAAAAATAAGACATCCCCTGAAAATAAGCCCTAGTGTGTCTTCTTGAGAAAAAATAAGTATAAGACAGTGTTTTATTTTCAAGGAAACATGGTATTTGCCCAAGACTTGTGTGAGCATGGAGGTGGAGCCATATTTGAGACTATTTTTTCTTTTTGAGACATAGTCTCACTCTGTTGCCTTGGATAGAGTGTGTGGTGTCACCCTAGCTCACAGCAACCTCAAACTCCTGGGTTCAAGTGATCCTTCTGCCTCAGATTCCCAAGTATCTGGGACTACAAGCACCCACCACAATGCCTGGCTAAGTTTTGTGTTTTTAGTAGAGACAGGGGTCTTGCGCCTGCTCAGGCTGGTCTCCAACTCCTGAGCTCAAGTGATCCTTCCACTTTGGCCTTCCAGAATGCTAGGATTATAAGCATGAGCCACTGTGCCTGGCCTGAGGCTATTTTCTTTATGAGACAATGTGTGCATGAGTTCATGAGTTCTTTTTCCCCACGATCAGTATTGCAGGGTTTCTTACATACAGAGTCTATCTCCTCTACTCTACCTCACCAAGAGACTGCTTCCTGAAAATATGGCTTATTTGCCTTGTTTAACTTCACCTTCCCTGTATCTCAATTCCTGGTGACAAATGGGTGAAGGGAAGTTCCAGCATAAACCTGCTTGTCTGTTCTTATTGTTCTATACGACTTGCAGGAGTTGGCCCATAGGATGGGACATTTTCTTGGGAGAACTATATCACTCTCCCTTTGTGTAAGATTTGTATCCCCAGGCATCCTCTCTCACATTCCTGCTTGACTTCCTTTTTTTTGTTGTTTTGTTTTTTGAGGCAGAGTATGTGACTACGGGTGCCCGAGCCTCCTGCTTGACTTTCACTATATTTGGCAGTACTTTCTTGTATATTATAGTCCAAGCTATTTTATGTCTCTAGTTTTATTCTATTTTTCATTTTTCTTATAGTTTTGACTTAAAGTAAGGCTTGGTGCCTATAGCTCAAGCGGCTAAGGCACCAGCCACATACACCAGAGCTGGTGGGTTCAAATCCAGCCCAGGCCCGCCAAACAGCCATTGATTTCTGTGACTTCAGGTAATTCCTGAATTTGTCTCTGAACCCATAACTGGGTCCTTGAAAATCAACATGAATGAAACAGAACTCATATTTCTCCCTAAATTAGTTCCTTCTCTTGACTTCCCTATTTGTACTGACTGCACCACCAATCTTCCAGCTTTGAAACATGAGTTATACATAGTTTTTACATATTTTATGCTATTCTTCCTTCCCCATCATCTGATCAGTTGGGAAGTCATATAATAATAATAATTGCAAAATAAAAATAATAATAATTGCTAATGCTTCTCTGTCTCCAATATCTTGTTATTCTTCATAGTCTATCAAATTAAGTTTTGTACTTTTTTTTTAGAAAGGTCCCCAGAATTCAGAACTCTCTACATCATATTGAAAATTCATATTTCTAGTCTTATTTCCCATGGTTATGTTATACACTAAAATGTTTTAATTATTTTGCATATTAATAATTCACTTACATTTCATTAACCAAAAAATACCAAAAGATTTGAAAATAAGATTACTTTATTTTTTGTACTAGACTGAGTAGGCAATTAATTCTGTGGTAGTAAAGTGAAAAATATTTATTCATTCTCCAGCCTCTCAATATGTGCTTAGAAGACCAAAGCCAGAAAAATATGCCCATCAGGGAATATGCAAGTACAAAATATGATTGTATTTTAAGCCAATGAGGGCTGTTTGAAAACTTTATTTATTTATTTTTGAGACAGAGTCTCACTTTGTTGCCGTTGGTAGAGTGCTGTGGTGGCATCATAGCTGACAGCAACCTCAAACTCTTTAAGTAGCTGGGACTACAGGCACCCACCAAAACCTCCAGCTATTTTTTTTTTTTTTTTTTTGAGACAGAGCCTCAAACTGTCACTCTGGGTAGAGTGCCATGTCGTAACAGCTCACAGTAACCTCTAACTCCTGGGCTTAAGCAATTGAGGCTTGCCTCAGCCTCCCAAGTAGCTGGGACTACAGGTGCCCACTGCAACGCCTGGCTATTTTTTGGTTATAGTTGTCATTGTTGTTTGGTGGGCCCAGGCTGGATTTGAACCCCCTGGCTCTGGAGTATGTGGCTGGCACCTTAGCCGCTTGAGCTATAGGCGCCGAGCCAAAACACCCGGCTATTTTTAAAGATGGGGTCTTGCTCTGGCTTGGGCTGGTCTCTAATGTTTTGACAACTTTAGAACTAAGATAAGATAAAACTTATAGGAGAATATGAAGCACTTGAAGGTGATCTAGGAAAGGGGGTCCCTACCAAAGTCAGTTTATAATCCTGGTGAATGCAGTGTCATTTTAAGGAGGTTGTCATTTAGGAATTTTATTCAATGGGTTTAAAAAATATATAAAAATGCTCATCATCCTTAGTCATCAGAGAAATGCAAATCAAAATCACCATGAGATATCACCTAATCCCAGTAAGAACAGCCCACATCACAAAGTTCCAAAGCTGCAGATGCTGGTGTGGATATACAGTGGGAAGGGACACTTTATACACTCTTGGTGGAATTGCAGACTAATCCAGCCTTTTTGGAAAGAAGTATGGAGAATTCTCAAAGAGCTAAAAGTGGACATTCCATTTGATAACTCAGTCCAATTAGCAGGTATCTACTGGATAGAAAAAAGGTCATTTTACCACAAGGACATTTGTACTCGAATGTTTATAGCAGCTCAATTCACAGTCACAAAGATGTGGAAACAACCGAAGCGCCCATCAACCACTGGATGGATTAATAAACTATGGTATGTATAGATAGATAGATGTAGACCATGGAATACTATTCAGCCATAAAAAGATGGAAACTTGACCTCTTTTGTATTTACCTGGATAGAGTTAAAGAGTTAGCAAAATATCTCATGAATGGAAAAGCAAGCACCCCAGGTACTCAGTACTAACTTGAAGCTAGTAAATGAAGAACTACAAGTCCTCACAGGAGAAAAACACAAGTAAATTCAAATAGGGGAAAGGGGAGAAGGGGAGAAAAGAAAAGGGGGGTGGGGAGCATTGGTAAGCCAGGGTGCTACCTAACAAATGCAAATAATATAACCCAATCATATGTACCCTTATATTAATCTGAAACTTTAAAAATAAATGAATAAATAATACAAATAAAGATATATTTAAAGTATATGGTTGTTCCCAGTGCTGGGGCAAGAGGGAATGGGGAGTGACTGATAATTATTGAATTTTTGGGGGGAGTAATGAAAATGTTCTATAATTAGGTAGTGGTGGTGATTGTACAACTTTGGGAATAAGCTTAAAAACCACTGAATTGTAAACTTTAAAAGGGTAAATTTTTGACATGAAAAATATATGTAGTGTTATTACTTATATGATTGGTTTGTTTACAGTTAATTATTAAAAATCAATATTATTGACTGAGGTTTTTTAATGGCTAATTCATCTTGCCAGCTAAGCTTTTGCAAATTACCCTGACTTTCAAAAATTTACTCTCTGCTGGCTCGGAGCCTATAGCACAGTGGTTACTGCACCAGCCACATACACTGAGGGTGGCAGGTTCAAACCCGGCCCAGACCAGCTAAACAACAATGACAACTGCAAGAAAAAATAGCCGGGTGTTGTGGTGGGTGCCTATAATCCCATCTACTTGAGGCTGAGGCAAGAGAATCACTTAAGCCCAAGAGTTTGAGGTTGCTGTGAGCTGTGATGCTACAGCACTCTACCAAGGGCGACATAGTGAGATTCTGTCTCCAAAAAAAAAAAATTTACCCTCTGCTGTAAAACAAGAGATTAAATATATTAGCTAATATTCACTGAGCATTCACTGTGCAGAAGGCTTTACATATATTATTTTATTTAATCTCCATAAGAACTCTATGAGATAAGGGTTTTTTTTTTTAGTCAGAGTCTCACTTTGCCTCCCTAGATGGAGTGCTGTGGCATCATCGTAACTGACAGCAACCTTAAACTCTTGAGCTTGAGCAATCCTCTTGCCTCAGCCTCCCAAGTAGGTGGGACTACAGGCATGTACCACTACTCCTGGGTAGTTTTTCTATTTTTTAGTAGAGACAAGGTCTTGCTCTTCTTCAGGCTGGTCTCAAACTCCTGAGCTCAAGCAATTCACACTCCTCAGCCTCCCAAAGTGCTAGGATTACAGGCGTGAGGCACTGCACTCAGCCTGAGATTAGTATTTTTAAGGAAACTGAAGCTTAAAGAATTTAAGTATCTTGCCAGGGCCACAGTTAGTAAGTGGTAGATCCCCGATTTGAACTGTTTGTCTGACCCCAAAGCCTATTATCTTAACCACTGAGTCAGTGAAGAGCCAATTAATGTTTTGTGGAATTTAATTTATTAAATTGATCAACTTTGTGAGGCAAAATATGTGGAATAACTTTTCTATTGCTCTTGGAGAATTTATACAATTGGAAACTTAAAAAGATTCTGAAAGTTTTGTACTTGGAATTCTTTAGGAAATCACATCCAATGCCAGCACTTTTAGGGAAAATCTAACCTTACGGCAAGGGGAGAAAAACTTAAGCCAGGAATCAAGACTGATCCTCGTAAAGCCCTGACTGACAGGAATCACTTTCTCAGAAAGTATTTCCTCCTCATTTCACTCACTGTGCACATTCTTAAAAAGCAAAGAAAAGGCAAGGATTAGAGATCTATGAAGTCCTTGGAAACTTGCAGAAGAAATATTTAATTTTTACCAGAGATTTTTTCCCTTGAGAAGTTTTGGGTTGTAAATTTTTTAAATAATGGTTAATGAAATATTTAAGCAGAGTTTATTTATTGCTTTTCAGCCTTTATTTCTCCAAAGTTTAATTCTTCTTTCTTTTTTTTTTTTTTTT